TATTGTTTATTCATAGGGGAAAGAACCTACAGAAAAGTTTATTCTGTACTTTAGGGTCAAGTTTTATGTGGAAAACATTGCTCTTATAAGGTAAATTAAAATATTTCTTGTTTTTTATACTGTGCAAAGTCATTTATAAAAGTAAAACACTAGTGACTTTTTTTTTACATCTTGTTACTTATCATGTTACTTATATGTGTTGTCAGTGTAAGATGTAGTAACATCATGTGCACCCAATGTGAGCCAACTCTTTGCACGCATTATGTGCCTATGATTCTAGACACGCCTCTTGGTCCATCAACTAATGTGTTACTAACAATAGATGATGCCTGTTCCAATCTGATCTGGTGATTACATAGCTGAGTTGGTACATAAAATACATGTAGCAATAGGCAAAACACTTTTCAAACATCTTTAGAGCACCTACCGATATACAGGACAGTGTAATTTCGTTATTTTCCGCTTCTAGGGTTGCCATTGTATACCTTTGTGCTGTGTTGATTTAGTGTATCAGACATCCCACTAACCTTGTAGGGCACCAGTTCCCAAGCAACTAGTGTGTTTCTTAACTTCCATGCATGGAAATTGTGTGAAATGATTTACTAAATATCGTATCTGATGGTCTCTCCTTCCTGCAACAGTTATCAAAAGACCATTCACCAGTTTTACCTTCAGCTGCGGGATGACGTATTGAGTGGGCAGCTCTATTGTCACGAGGAAGCATCCTTTAATCTTGGAGGACTTGCACTTCAGGCAGAAACAGGAGACTACAATGATACACTTGGTGATGAGTACTTCCTTCCAGAACATTACATTCCAAGCAGGGTATGTACATGTACACATGTTAAGACTGTTTATCTTGATCATAACTACATTCAGGGGACTTCATACATGAAAGGTGTAATCAAGATTACTTCCAGGTTTTATGATCTTTGCTGTACTTGAATGCACAGGAGGGCTCTCAGTACTTTATTTCACCATTTAGTTAGCTTTGTGTACAATACAGCACAGTACATAAAGCAGAAGAAATACTTAATAAAATTTAGATTTTTAGCTCCAGATTTCTATCAGTTACGTTATATTTATATATTAAATCTACTAGTAGTGCAGAACTGTATCTGAATCCTCTTGACAGACACTTTGTAACCTTTGTTTGGCAATTGCATACAGCTAGGGTACTCAATCTTGATTGTCTACAACAGAATAGATAGTGAGTAGCATAGCCAATAAGAGAACAACATTTGTGATACCTTGTAGAATACCAGTCAGGCTTCCAGCCAGGTGGATGTCCAGGCATTCTGTGGATGGTCACTTTCTAAAGAAAATTGTTTTAGTTTTCATATGTTGCATTATAAATTGCTCATTTGAGCAGGCTGTATGGCGCATTTTGGACGGCTACTTTTCAAATTCTGGCTAAAAGCCTGATGGCAGTAGATTTACACCAACACTGTATGGTGATTTTTCTTAATTTCATTCAGATAATAGACACGTTTTCAGTTGATCATGCTATGCAAGAGCTGCCACGTGTCCACAAAACTTTCCGTGGTCTGTCAGATGAAGAGGCAGAGCTGGAATTTATAAAAGAGGCTCAGAAACTTCAAGAATATGGAATCCACTTTTACAAAGTACAGAGACGTATGTCACACAAAGGAGGAACAAAGGTGAATACCTCTTTAATAAGTACTAATCTATGAAAACTATTATTAATTTAGAATATATAATGTACATGTACAGTGTTAATAAATACATGTATTATTGTGACACATGCCTATCACAGACTGTTTTTATTTTCACATATAGCCTAAGAAGAGCGATAAGGAGACAGTTTGGCTTGGAATATGCGTCCGTGGAGTTACAGTCTATGAGGTATTCACATTTATGTTACGGTATACCTTAGTATAAATGTTTTTGTTTTTTTCTATTTACAAGCACCACTATCTTTCTTCCTTGTGCCTTGTTGATTACAACTTGTGCATAACAGTGAATTGCTTGTGTCAAAATCCATAATAATTCATCAGATTAAAACATACATTAGAAAATCAAAAAATAATAGACATAGATTTAGCCAAGCCTAAAAGCTGAGCTCCTGATTGCAATAAGTTAACCTGGCTTGAGCCTGTGATTTAATCAAGACCCAGTACCTGGGCAGTGGTCAACTTAAAAAAAAACACAGGACCTTGATGAGTTCTAAACCTGACCCTGCGATATGGTCGTGTGATACTGGTGAGAGAATACCTTGATTTGAAAGGTGTCAATTGATCATAACATTGATGTCCAATATCAAAGATGTACGCTGTAAACCAAGGCTGCACAACTCATTTGACCTACTAGCTGGACTATGGCCACCATGTTGTACATTGTCATACCCGTATGGTAGGGTACATGCGCTTGTGATCAATGCCACAAGCTATATTGACTTTGAAAAAAGAGTTGCATTGTTTCCATTTTCTATGCATGCATGTGATTCTGTTCTTATAGTTATTGTGGTCCGCTTGCAGCCCTTTGGCCTGCCCGAGCTCCGCTATTATATAAATATACATGTATTATATTTCTGGCTATCAGCTCCTGCATAAAAAGGGGTCATAGAGACTTGGTTCTTAGGTTAGGATTTTTATTGGTGATTGGATTAGGCAGTATAGATCGTTTTCTGTTGTTTAATTTTAATTACTCTAGGCCCGTGGACATATGAAATTCCCCACTGATAGACATTCTTGGCCAATGACAAAAAAGCTCTCCTTTAAGGTATGTATCTTGTAAGATTTTTTCATAATATTATTTTAAAAATAACTTTTAAAATTAATTATTGTTGATGTTAGGTAGGGTATTACTTTTTCTAGACCTTTACATCATCATTTGCATTGTCCAGGAGACTAATGGAAATATGTTTGTATTTTACTTTCTTTTAATGGGTGAAATTTCAGACAGCAGGCTATATACCTAGTACTGTCTTGATCATCCCAACATTTGCACCCAATTAAACACAAAATATTTATAATGTAATGAATTTTCATCACTTTGTTAGCTACTTTGTTGTTAACTGACAGAAAATGCAGTGGTTGTTTGAAAACTTACAATTTTATTGTGCCAAAGTACCAAATTATTTGAAAAATTCATATTACAGCCAGACAGTGCACCTGAATTATCTGCTACATGTAGGGGGTTTTCACTGTGTTATATCAGCTAACTTGTTGTTATTGCTACTCTCTTCTTATAGAAAAAGAAGTTCTTCATAGAACCAAGAGGAAATCCTGATCCACCAAAGATGACGTTCTACACAAATCATTATAAAAAGTGGGTGATCTTGTTAGTC